TCACATCCTGCTGCCACCAATCTGAGAATAATCTAAGAGCTATGAATGGCTTTTACATTTTTAAATGTTTAAAGGGGGGAAATTCAAAACATAAAACCTCAAACGGGCTGAAGAGATGACCCAGTGGTTAAGAGTACTTGCTGTTCTTTCAGAGGACCCAGGTTCGATTCCCGGCACCCACATGGCAGCTAACAAACATCTGTAACTCCAGTTCAAGGGATGTGACACCTGCTTCTGACCTCCATGGGCATTGCAAGACACAGGTATACTTGCATACAAGGAGGCAATAAACTCATAAATTTTTTTTAGAAACTTCAAACAATATTTTGTGGAAGTTAAGTATTTGCAAAAACGATATGAAAATCTAATTTCAATGCCCATAACTAAGGCTTTGCTGCAAACTTTTACTTTATCTTATCTTGCCCCAGTGCTGTCTTTGGTGATTTTCATGCTCCAAGGCCAAAGTGAGTCATTGTAATAGAGGCTTTGCAGTATCTGTTACATTCGTTACAGGCAGAGTATACCAACTCCTGATTTAATGAAACAGGCTAGGAGACAGGGGCCAACAGGTGACCAAGTTCTCAGAGAAACTCCACGGCTATAAATCAATGCATTGAGGACCAGTTATTAAGGTCTCTAATAACAGAGCAATTCATTCACCCTAGTTAGATGTAAGAAGGTTGAAAGGTAAGGAAAATGAATTTTGTCTAAATTTCTAAACTATCACAGAACTAAAGAAATCCAGAGACCATTTTAAAAAAATTCTTTTGCGGGGGAGCTTTTTGAGACAGGGTCTCTCTGTAGCCCTAGCTGTCCTGGATGGAACTCACTATGTAGACCAGGCTGGCCTTGAACTCACAGAGCTCTGCCTGCCTCTGCTTCCCATGTGCTAAGATTAAAGGCGAGACCATTTTTTTAGAGACTGTATGTTGGGTAGGCATGTCCTCTGAGAGAACTAGCACTGGACCCTAATAGGCCCCATAGACAGATAGGGAGACAGTCACTCTCCCACCCAATCAGTCGGCTTCAATTGCATGAGGGTGAGGGTGTAAGGACAGATGCCGAGGAAGCTGGGAAGTGGCGGGAAGTCACCATCTTGGCGAGGCCCGTGAGTGATGCTGGCGGTGCTCTGGAGGCTGTGGCTCTTAAAAGCTCAGCCACGACGTAGGGGGAAAAGAGCCCATGGGTGTATGCCTTTGTAAGTAACTACCTTTTGGACTCCATAAGCTTTATACAAAAATCCGAATGGAATGCATGGTGTCACCTTTGTCGGTAGGCATTAGGACCACATGGGCCTGGGAACCGAGAGCATGCACGCAGGTCTCCTAGAGGAGAATTTGACGTTAAACCATATTAATAGCTTTTTATCAAACACCAGACATGAGCTCATGTGACTTCCCTGTGTTGTTAAATCCACTTGCCTTTCGTGCCTCTCTCTCCCGGGTCTCCCTGAAAGCCAGGCCAGCCTTTCTCTCCAGTTTCTCCCTTTCTTCCAGGTTGCCCATCTGGTCCCAACCTTCCTCTCTGTCCTGGAAAACCAGGGAAGCCAGGCAGCCCAGGGGTTCCTGATCAAATAAAACCACACGATTTTAGGAAAGTATTTACAGGTCTGTATGGTTCTTGTTCACTCAGTAATGTGAAATCCTGCCTAACATTGTGCACTGAAAGGGAGGTATAATTTTGAACCTGACTGTGGCCTTAAGTAGCTGTGTTCTCCCATCCAGTCCTGTTTCCCACCCTACAGGCCCAAATCGTGGGTTCTGATGTTTGGGGTCCCGAGTTCATTATGTTTTAACAACACCAGAAGGGAAGAAGGTAGAGGGCCCATCCAAAGTGAAATGTGTTAGCCCTGCTCAAAGACTGCATGGGTGCTGCCTGGTCCTGTGAGCCAAAGCATGCTAGTTCTATGAACCTAACATCCCCAAGTCCTTTTTACAACTTATCTAGACCAGAACATTCAGCCACTGGAAAGGACAACACGGAGAAGGGAGACATGAGTAAGGAGAGAACCAAGTCAAGCTATTAAGAAATTCCATTAATATCATCATAGTGAGGGACTAAAGCCCTAACATGCAGACAGGGCCACTGAGAAGGAACAAAGGGCCAATGTCCTGCTTCTTCCTAGGGGCTTTTCCTCTTGTTAGCTGAGCTCCTCCTCTGGCTGACTACTCCAGATAACTTTAGCCAAGGCTGGTTCTAAACATATCTCAGCTTAGAACTGGAGCCTACCAACCCTCTCTTCTTTGTTTAAGTTGAATACTGTAAAATTGGGGGAGGGAACATGCCCTATGCTATCCAGAACACTTAAAAGATTCACATTGTTCCCCTCACACCCCAGCCTAGGAATTTTGGACGTTTCTGGTTTGTAACCCCTGTTCACTTGCTGGGAGTTTTTCTGTGTGAGTTTCTTTGCTTTTAATAAAGTTTGTTGCCTGCTGTGTCTGAGATTCTTCCTGTTTTTGAATTCTTTAATTGGCAGAGAAAATGAATCCAACCAAGA